ATTGCTGAAAACCAGTGATAAAGAGAAAAATGTTCAAAGCAGTGAGAAGAAAAAAGACACATGTACACAGAGGAACAAAGATAGGAATTACAGCAGACTTCTCAAGGAACCCATGCAAGCCAAAAGATAATGGAGACAGATAATGAAGACTGAAAGAAAAAGACCCAGCAGATTTCTTTGCCTAGCAAATATATTAAAAGTCAAAAGCAAAACAATTTTCCAGAAAAACAAAAACCGAGAGAAGTCATTACTAACAGATCTTCACTACAAAATAAGTTAAAGGCAGCTCTTCAAGGCGAAGAGGAAATGACACCAGATGGAAATTCAGATCTACACAAAGGAATAAAGAGAACCAGAAATGAAGAATACGCAGGTTAATATAAAATACATTTTTTCATTTTTTGGTTTCTTTAAAAGATAATTGTGCAAGGCTAAATAATCATTTTTTGTGGGGAGATATAACGTAGAATTTTCTAAGTATCCTTGTCTATTAACTAGTCCACGTTAACAGTAAAATGAATTTTCCAGTTACAGAAAAAAAACTTGATATTTTTACTAGAATTACATTAACATTATACATTAATATGGGGAGACCTGTCAGCCTCATAATATTTCTTAGCCAAGGATGTGGGAGGTTTTTCCATTTGTTCAAGTCTACTTTGTGTTTCTCAGAAGTGTTTTACAGTTTTCTTCATATAGATTTTATACATTTAATGGGAAACTTAAATCAAATATTAGGAACCACTGATTTGTGAAAATGAATTAAAATGGATTACATACCTCTGAAATTAAAATAAAAGTCAAAGGGGAAAAGTGGGATTGAATTTGTAAAGCTTGATTTACATGATTTTCTAAAGAAAAAATACTTTTAATATAAGGTAAGCATTTATAAAAATAAATAAGGTGATTAATGACCTATAAAATGAGCGATGAAATGTAAAATGTGCCTTTCTTCCCTCCTTCCAATGAGCCATTTTCCTTTAGTTGGTCTATCTTCTATAAAATTAGCAATTCACATACTATTTTTCTATTTTTTTCTACCAATTACTGAGAGAAGGGTGTTGAAGTTTCCAAATATAACTGTGGATTTATGTCTTTCTCTTTTCAGTTCTATCAGTTTTTGCCTCAAATATTTTGAAGATCTGTTGTTGCTTCAAAAACAGCACTGTTCAGTCTTCTTGGTGAATTGACCCTTTTAACGTTACATACTGTGCTTATGATACCTACATTGTCTACTAAAACAGTCGTTCCGGCTTTACTTTTATTGGCACTTGCAGAGTATATTTTTTTTCCATCTTTTAACTTTTAACCTATCTCTGTTGCTGTTTCTGTTTCCTGACTAAACCTTGACTGATTAGAAATTGGTACAGGGAGTTCCAGGAGACAAATCCTCAAAGATGGGATTTCAAGATTGGTTTAGTTGTGTCCTTGGACTTGATTGTGGTGCTGAGCTAATACAAAGTGGAATGCTGTGATCCATTGCATGATGGGGCAATACAATTCGTCAATATTACTGAGACTTATTTGATTGTGGAAACTTTTGTTGAAAGAAGCATCTTATAGGGCCGGTATCGAGCAGAACAAACTTTAGGAAATGCTGGCTTAGCCACACTTCTCTATTCAATCTATCTTCCTTAAACACATCAAGCTCGTTCAAGTTGCTGCTCCTGTTTTATCTAAATTGAGAATTTCTGCTCATCCTTTGAGCCTCAGTCCATGTTTTACATCAAGTGTTTAGAGCTTTTCCAAACATTGAACCCAATACCTCCCCAAAGGAACTAATTGATTGTTTTGCTTTATACATACCTCTAACATGATCTTTGTCACATTATAATCATAGTTGTTTGTTTACATATATGCTAGCCCACTAGAATTAGAGATCTTTGAGAGAGTCCTTGTCGGATTCATCTTTGTACCTCCAATGCCGATCAGAGTGTCTGCCATATAGTAGGTACAATTAATTTGTATGGCTGTCATTCATGAGAATGGTCATGGAGGCTAGCTATATTTATTCATTAAGAAAACTTGGAGCATTTTGAATTTGCTATTCCAGAAGAGGATAAACAGACATGCTTCATTATTTGAAATGAACTGTTTATAGCATTCGTACTATGTGTTACAATATCCCCTCAAGAGCAGAAACTTGTTTCTTTTTTTTCCATTTTACAAATCCGTTCACCTTAGGCAAGTAAGTTCAGGTCAACGAGCATATACTGAGCAATTACCCTGTGCCAGGAACTATGCTAAGCTTTAAGCACACAAACATGGTATGTATAAACGCTCGTAGTTCAATGGGGAGACAGATTCATAGTCAAATGTATTTCATTATCACTGTGATAAGTACAATGATGGAAGTATATACAAGTTGTGGCAGTAGTTGAGAGCAGATTTTTGAGTTGGAGTTTAGGAGGAACAGGAGTTTCCCAAGCTGACAAGAGGCAGGAGCATAAATAAAACCATGGAGACAAAAAATAGTAAAGCTTTGAAGAAAAGCAGTTTCAAGAGCATTAAGACCAGATGGTTTGTGGCAGAAAATGAGGCTGGAAATTTAGGCAAAGGCCAGATCATGAGAAGAGCCTTAGACACCATTCTAAGGGACCTGGATTTGTCCATCAGGTGATAAGGAGCCAAAGAAGGCAAATAATATTTATTTTTCCTTTTCTGCATTAGGAAGAATTTGTACTACCATACACTGAGAAAGCATCTGTTGAGCACATATAATATCTCAGGCATTTTGTCGAGAACTGGATTATTCACAGAGTTGTGCCTTTAAAGCTCTTCATAAAGGACATTTTTGTTCATAAGGTAGATAGCCTAGATTTCATTTATAGATTCTATCCTCCCAATTGATTCTCAGCAGAAGCTTGCAGGACAGTATTTCCAACTCTGTTGCTAATGCCAAGACCGGCACTTTGAATCATTTCTGCCAAGCAGCAGATTTTCAGCAACCCACTTCATAAACTGTAATTACTCTTGTATAAAGGGCAAATTATTTCCTTTATTCCCTTTCTAAATTTCATAGCCTTCATCATATTTTTGTTCTACATCACTATCTATATATTTCTATTTAAAGTTAGCCCAAGGAAATCCACATCTTTTCAGCCCACAAACTCTTCTACTAGAAATAACTAGGAGAGGGGCCAGCCCAGTGGCATAGTGGTTAAGTTCACATGCTATGCTTTGGTGGCCCAGTGTTTGCAGGTTCATATCCTGGGTGCGGACCTACACACGACTCATCAAGCCATGCTGCGGCAGCATCCCATATATAAAGCAGAGGAAGACTGGCACAGATCTTAGCTCAGGGACCATCTTGCACAAGCAAAAAGAGGAAGATGGGCAACAAATGTTAGCTCAGGGCCAATCTTCTTCACTAAAAAATAAAAAGTAAAATAAAATAAACAGGAGAAAACAAGAAAAATTTCCAAAATGAAGGTAGTAAGTGTCAGGAAGGAGTAAAAAATGTCCCTGGAAAGAAGAAATTGTGCACAAAAGAGTTAAATTCCAAGTATTATCTAAGTAAGCAATACTAAGATATAAGTGGAAGTCTGGATATCAAAACACAGAATTACATAATTTATATACAAATCAAATGGCCATCAATTAATTCTATATTAAGGGTTCAATTCTATATTAGAGGTTCAAGTAAAACTTGAAATTTCAAAATCAGTGATGGCAAAGAAAGGAATGAGCAGTGCCTTATTAAAGATGGTACTCTTGTAATATACAGAGAATGTTCCCAAATATTTTTCATACCAGTGTCCTGAGTATTCGAAAAAAAAAACTTCACATCTAGATGAAAATAAATGATCTGGAACTGGCTGCTACTTTGTTACCAAACAAAAACTTCTAGTTACTCCATTACAATTATTCTCCTCTAACAAGAGAACCAAAGGCAAAGAAAACAGGCTAACATTGCAAAGAATCATGAATTTAGGTTAGCTACAGGGATGAGTGGCTTGAATGAGAAGGTTACTCAATTTGGGATTAGATATTGTGAAATCTTTTTCTGGATGCCTCTAGACATTGGCTGGATTATAAACTGTATATCTTGCTGCATAACAAAGGAAAAGACAAAATGTCTCAAAATCCTGTCAAGCCTGGAGATCTTTGGAAACCAAAGCCTAATTAAGAGGCTCCCTAGGGACAGGTCAAAGGAGTTCCTTTATCCCCACTGCCCTTATCCCAGTTCCTTGATACCCTATTCCTCCCTTTTCACTCAGCCTACTCAAAAACTGAAGAATACACATTGTGCAAGTTTCCACCTTTGCTTCCTCTACTGTAAATGCATTAGACTATTAGAATTAAGAATTTTAAATCCCTCATCCCTTATCTCTGAACTGATAATGCTTATTTTTTGTGTTTTTGAATAGAGCTTAACACTAAAAATTCTTCTAAAACTTGTTTTTTTCAATTGAACAAAATTGTTTTTAATCTTAAGACCCTATAAGATTACAAAGTCCTTCAAATATCTTTTAATAAAGCTGTCTGATAAATAATACTTTGTCAAATTCCAATTCGGATTTATGTCTTCCTTATAATTCCAAAGACCGTGTTGCTTGCAGTTACCTACTTGGGTTAAATTCCTGTTGGAATCATATTGACAGTGTTTCACTTCCTTGAAACAGTTTTAGAGTGAGCGTCTCTACTGTATCACCCAGAGAATAGCAACTGATGCACGTTGTAAAACTGGACATCATTTTGCAGACTTTAAGTAATTAACGTCATTTCCTTGATAGTAAATAAGGCATAATAGAGCATTTTATTGTTCCCCTGTCTCTCGCATGAAAAATTAGTGACGTTAATTTGTGTAAGTTTGAAACAACCTTGCAGCGATGAAAACGTTCTATCCGAAGAGTTTTTCCACGTTTAAAAACACGCGTGGGTACCGCTGCATCCCTGACCAGCAATCTCTCTCCAGACCACCCCACAGCACCATGTTAAAATTTCAACTTTTAATTTGGGGCTAAAACTCTAGCATTTAGGTCTAAGTTTCCTCTTACCAACACTCCTAAGCAACATCTAAGAATCAAACTAGGCTTCACGATGGTAAACCTCAGCCGACCACGACTCCAAACACCACTCCAAATACTACATCCAGCCTCTCGCAGGTCCGCAATTACCCGCTCCCACTCCTCCGCGTTAACACTATCGCTGCACCTGATTGGTGTACGTGCTGTCAGTCACAGAGAGAGGGTGGGTGTTCAACGCTCCGCTCTAAACGAGACGCTGTGGTTTTACGTCATCGTCGAGCGACGAAAGCAGGAGAGGGAGTGGGTGGGGCTGGGAGCACACCTCTGTGGTGGCGGGGCGGCCTGCTAAGGTGTCATGGCTGCGGCCGCTGAGATTAGTTCCGCGAGCATCGGTGACAGGAGCCTGGAGCAGAGCTGCAGCCCCAGCCTCTCCCAAGAGGTGCTCTGCGAAGTCTTTCGCTCCCTGCATACCCTGGCTGGACAAGTGAGTGGCGGCCTGTGGGAGTCGGGGTACGGGAACTGTGCGGCCCCTCCCCCCTTTTTTCGCCCAGCGGAGGCCTGCCGGGCGTGGGACCCGCCGAGGGGCCGAGGGGTGAGGCCGGAGGAGGAGCCCCGGCCCGGCAGCCTGCGGTCAGAGTGAGGATGGCCGCGCGAGCTTAGTTCAGGACCCGCGACAGACTAGATCCCCTTGCAACTCTTCTCCCCAAGAGTGAGTGAGGATAGTCTAAGTGACAGCCCGGCCTCAAGAGGAACAGGCTTGGAGAGGATGAATGCGGAACAGCTGCTCTGAGGGCTTGGGAGGCGCCTGGCGCTCAGGACCCCCTTTCCTCCAGTTCCTTCATTACAGAAAGGGATAGGTTAGTGCGGCCTGAGATTTCTGGAAAAGCCCTCTCTCCGCCTTTTTTGGGTGGTTTGCTCTTTTTAGTCACTTGGTTTATTTCTTTTTTCCTTCTGGCCATTGTGTGCAACTCTTACCCTTTCAAACAGAGAGGAAAATAAAAGGAATTAATCTAAAATACTTATAGCGTGAAGTTGGATGACTTATCCGTGGTTGATACTGTTTGTATCAGAACTGTTGTTTAGCTAATTGTTTACCTATTAACTAGTTTAACTGGCTGGTAAGTAGCTTTTGCAGAAGTGTCATAATCAAGTTGGGTTTAAATAAAGGTGCTTCTTACACTCTATTCCAATCAAGTCACTATATCGTTTCATGACGTACAATGCAAAACAAGTTTTAAATGAGAAACAACCTACAAATAAGTTTGTCTGCCTTTAAAGGATTTATTTTCTCTTCTATCTTAGACGGAATATTTTCTAGCTGTAAAAGTTTGTAATGGGTCTGGTGGTAGACACAGCAGGCATTTGTGTCAAAGATAATGCTAACTTCCTTTATGAAAATAGAGCGTTTGTCTGATTTGAGAAAGTTATTTTTAAAAACCTTGAGTGGATGGAGAATCAATTTTTTAAAAGGTTATTTCAATATTTTTTAAAATCCTAACATGTTTGTCGTGACTTACAAAGAGCATTACTCTAAGTTAAACGTTGTTTGGTATATGGAACAACTAATAAAATCTGATAAAAATTGTAACTTTTAAACCCAGTTTGCCAAAGACTTACTAAAAAAAATTTTTACAGACTTGAGGACATTAATGTTTAAGTCTTAAGACCCAAGACCTGTAAATGGTTTAAAAGTTTGAGAACTTTTTATGGCGTGGAGATTGGAACTTTAAGATTTATTTATATTCTAATGTCAAGATAAAAAGAAGTCTGTGCTCATCTCTGATTTACAGAAGTCTTCTTTCAGTGATGAGATATTCTAAAAATAACATTAAGAAATAATTTAAACGTTTCGTTTGAAATATTTTGCATACTGAATTTTTAAAACATTTAAAAATTTTGAACATTCAGATATTCTGTAGATACAAGTAGAGATCTGATTAAAATTTGTCACCTGCCAAAAATGGTTAGAGTAAATATTTGGCAAGTGTATGTGAAACGGTGGGGGGACCATCTATGCGAGTGTCAAAAAATAAGATTGTCTCCTCAATTAAATGTTAACCCTTTTGATGATACTCTTTATATATTGAGATTTATTGTTTACAGACTGAAAGCCAGAGTGCTAATAAAATTCCCCCTGGAGGAAATCACTATTTCCCTTTGCAAAGAGTTCAAAGGGTTTTTTAAAAAAAATATGTTGTAATATGCCTAAGTTCATTCAGTATATTATCATTGTATTATTAGCTCTCTCAATAGGGAACATAAAGTTGAATATTAAAAAGTATTTTCTGTTCCAGTTTTCAAATTTACTGATTCTGACCTTATTGCTTGCCTCTGGATGGCCCATTTTACCAAGCTGAAGAATTACTTATTGTTAGCTTGGGTTTTCATATTAATTTAATAATGTTTTTACTGAAAATGCATATTTAAATAGTCCATATTAATAGCAGACTAATACACTTTTGGGTGAGTAGTTTACAGTTTCAAGTTCTATAGGGTAAAATGCATAGAATTCGTATTACTTGTAGAGAATTTGTTGAATAAATAGTTGGATGCATTGAGATTGTTTTAATTTGTGACCTTATTATGTGGTTTTCTTAAAAGACGAAGTATCTAATTGCACTTGAAAGCTTACATAATTCTGAATTGAAATGAGAAAATGATCCTAACATTAAGATTTATTTTCTGTAAGTTACTGTTTTCTCTAGAAAATTCGATGCTTTGCTTTGGTTGAGGATTTGCTTGCATTATCCCCAAACTGTATTTATAAATTTGTTATAATCGACTATAGATCTCTTTGAGGACTGTAAAACTATAGTAATACTTTACTTCCCTACATAAGTTGTTGTCTAACAAAATCTTTATAGCCATTAAATAATTTAAAATAAGATTAATGTGGTGATCTTAATGTAAAACTTTATGTAAATTAATATAAACTAATCTTTGCCAGTGCAGCCTACGCAAAACTTCCTATTTCTTTATGCTGTTCTAATGTGGACTTTAAATGTTTCTGGTCTCGTGTGTGAAGGGTAGTAAATTTCTGTCATGTAGTATTCATTCAATATAGTACATTTTTGGGGGCAACTTTGGATCCTTTGGTTCTTTGTTCAGTGATTCTTTTTGTTTTATTATAATCATAACTCCCAAGATCTGTATTTGAACTCATGTAACTCTTGTCTTTATTTTGTAGAAAATATGACTAATTTTTAATAAATGATTTCTGAAAAACTAGTTGGTTCTACTATGCAGTATATCCTTATAGTATGCTATAAACACATGTCCTAGAAAAGTTTATGGTAGTTCACTTTTATTTGCTCAAAAGACTAAATATGGAGGTTTCCCTCTAAAATTTTCACTGATTTTGATAATGATTTTATATTCAGGTTCTTGGTCGTTTTCTGTATATAATTTTATTCTAATAGGTCACACATAGCATAGCCAACTTACAAGAAGTTTTCGTATGGTGTGCCCACATTCTTTACTAGAAAATGCTATTTAGTAAAAGATCTGGCCATTCCATTCAGGCTCTGGCCATTCATTTCACTATGTGGAAAAGTATATGTTTTTCAATTTAAGATTTCCGCAGCTAAATAATAGTTTAATTTTCATTTGAAGTAAATAAACATGTTGCCATGTATCCCTAGACTTTATAAAATGTATGAATAATCTTGATTTTTAAATTATTTTAAAAATTGGTTAAAGTTGAAAACAGTAAAAACGTGATTCAGAAAGCACCAAAGTAATCATAGATTTCAGTTATGTTTTATGAACATATTTAACACAAAGAAATGTGTATATCAGAACTTTTATAAATGTGCCTGCCCACTCTTTAATGCTCTGAGCTAGAAGTAGTAGGATTCTAAATAAAGCAAGCCTATTTTGGCCTCCATTCAAAGGTTTTTAGATATTGAAGTATCAAAACAGCCTCGTCGTTTCATCTTCTGTGGATGGTTTCACCTCTAACATGGTCCCATTAGAAAGACCCAAGAAGAGAATTAGAATGAGATGTCATTCTGGTTTTTTTATGAAAATTATACCTTTCTTGGCCTTTTTAATGCTAACTAGGTAGAGCTTTTAATGTATCATTAAAAACTTGCTAACTTTGAGCTAAATAGGCATGTTATCTGTAGAAATCTTATTTTTGAGACAATCCCGTATGTACAGTTTAATCATGTAATTTTTGTGATGTTGCTGGTTTGCCCCTTTGAAGCTTAACCTGAGAGATGATGTGGTGAAAATTACAATCGATTGGAACAAGCTCCAGAGCCTCTCGGCATTCCAGCCCACTTTGCTCTTTAGTGCACTTGAACAACACGTTTTATATTTACAGGTAAATTTCTTGTTAAAAATGTTAACTCAATATTGAGAATAGAAATTAATTGTAGTTAAATTATAAGCTGAAGTATTTGTCAGTTCTATCTTAACACTGTATTAATAGCGTTATTAATAAAAGGTTACTTCAGCCAGATTGGATCCAAATCTGTTAATTTACATAGTGATCAGGACACTTACAGGAATATAGCCCAATAGGCCAATGTGGGTATGAGGATTGAATGAATGCAATTCTATTCAATTCTAGACTTGCACTGAGAATTCAATACAGTTGCATCTATGGTGGGTTATAATTAAGCAATAAGACACGGCAGGTGTGTGTCATGCTATGATAATGATTCCATGCCTTGGGTGAGTTTGGAGGCTCATGGAGTGCTTTCAGTGGTTCAAGAAGTGGCATTATCCCAGCATGACACATCCTGGAGTGTCTATTGCAATTAAACAGTTTCAGCATAGTTTTTAAAAAGAAAGTAATTTCTGTGACATTAATGTCTCATTTTAGTAAGTAGCCAGTCACTATTTTATCTTTTCTTTTTCCTGACAGTTTGAAATAATTTATCCTTTATATTAGGAGTCAGCATCAAATCATTATTTGTAATAGTATTGCTACATCTTTTAATATTTCAGTTCAGTAACTAAACAGTATTATGACCTTGCTGGTTTCCAATTGAACATCTCTGCAATTATCATTGATGTGAGTTTGCAGTAAATCTCTAATCAAAGTATAAAATATGAAGTGTCAAAAAGGGAAGCGGAAGAACTGTTTGGATTGGTCTGTTTACTGCTATTAAGTTGCTATAAGGTTTCAGAAGAGTATTTGGTATAGCAAACAATGGAAGCAAAATTGTAGGTATGAAAAAATAATTGGAACATTGACAAGTGTTGGTGTGTTTTGATTAATGGAATAGACGTTCATTTTCAGCCCTCCGTTCAATGACTTTATGGGAAATTTTAACTCTGTTTCATGTTAAAAGTAATAGTTAACCCTAATTTTAAAGGGCAGAAGCAGTGAGCTATAGAACTCAATTGAGGCCTAATTGTGGGGGGTGAAATAGGAGTCTATTTCACATTATACAACAGGATTGTTTTTTCCCCTCTAGTATAGTGATAGGCGTCTCTCTCTCTCCAGCTATAGATTTTAGTAGGTTTTTTTCTTCTTGTTCATTTTCTTTCTAAAAATTTAATTTCATGACCCAAGAAGATATCTTGCCATGTCAGGAACAGCCGGAGTGTTCACTCAGCATAACACCTACATATTTCATGTCTGTGCTCTCTCATTCACTTTGGCCAACTGCAGTTTCAAGTGGAGAATCTCCAGTGATCTAGTGATAATGCAGGGCTTTGCCGGGTGAGAGCGCTGGCTCTCGTGTTAAGGAGGAAAAATACTAAGCCTTAGTGTTCTGAGGAGGCATTTGAATGACATGGTAATTAAGTGGCATTGGTGCCAGAGGCTGAGGCTTTGATTTGGCACAAAATAAAAGATGAGTGACAGAATGATTCTCTCAAAGAAAATTTTAAATTTCCTCAGGTTTTCTTTCTTTTTCTTTTCAACAGATTTATAGCAAATGATAATGGTCACAAAAGCAGAGAATAGCAAACACATGTGGTCACATCTATGTATCCTGATAGCCAACTTTTTATATTTAGTTAATTGATATTAAATATTGCATTTACTTAGCAGAAATTTATATAAATATGTTGTGTCATTAATTTTGATCAGTTTGAACCCCAGCAGATGAAATTGTGTTCTTCTCAGCCTTTTTTAGCAAAACTTCAGCCTCTGATTAAAGAGGATAATACAACCGTTGTTGAAGAGATAGGAAAAACAGAAACAGGGAACAGGAGTGAAGTAAATGCCAAATTTCCCACTGTCGAGCTACAAGAGGAAGAAAAGCACAAAGATGGTGACTTAGGAGATGTGAAAAAGACACAGATCCATTTTGATCCAGAAGTAGTTCAAATAAAGGCTGGAAAAGCAGAAGTAAGAGGGTTTTTGGAGCGGGGGGGGGGGGGGGGGGGCGAGTATTATTTTTTAAATCTTGTGTTTGAATTGTTAAAATATGCATACTTATTTCTAGATTGACAGACGAATATCTGCATTTATTGAAAGAAAGCAAGCTGAAATCAATGAAAACAACGTCAGGGAATTTTGCAATGTTATTGATTGTAATCAAGGTAACTACATGGAAGAAGTTAATTTTCATAGGATTTTAAGCACAGTTTTTACAGTTGCTCTGATCTTTCATTTGTTTTTAAAAATGAATAACATTAAGAACACAATTTATTTCACAGGTTTATTTAGAAACTAAGGCAGCAGAATTTCCTTCTGTTTAGTAACAGGCTATATTGCTAAAACGGTTTTCAGTTTGCTTATGCAAAAATCAAAGAAATGGTGACAAAAAGACTAATGTTTACTACAGGTGCAAAGATTGTTTTAAAGTTCCTTTAGGAAATGAAGATTAAGTGTGGGTGGCAGGGCTGCTTGGTCTCACTAGTAAGAAGGAACTAAGCTATATAAAGCCTGTAAATATACTTAGGGACTTATGATGTTAATACATAAAGTGAACTTAGTAAAGTTAATACTCCTCAAGAGGGAGCAGTTTTCTCACTACTCCTGAGCTATTTGAAATGTTTTCTGTCACGATAAAACCAATTTGTCCTAAAGACTATGGTGTCTTATGCTGTTTTCCTTTCTCTCATGGTGCATATATATACTGTTTTTCATCCGATTCTCCTTTTCCTCTCCGCTTGATGCCATAGTATATTTCCAGATCTGCAGGTATGCTGCAGAATACAAAATATTGCAAAGCACTGGCATAGATCGTACTCAGGCATCATAGTAATAATCAGAACAAGTAGTTCTTAGAAAAAATTATGGAGAAGAGTTCCTAATTGGAATGAACATTTTTCTTGTTGCCTCTAATGTCTCTGGGCTAATTATTATGAACACAGAATTGTCAGATGAATCTAGAATTAACTCATCACACTGGTACACTGATTCTCTTAATAATGAAATAATAAAGGTTCAAGTTGGGTCCTAAATTCAGCCTTTTCTTCTAGTAACATACATGCCTATCTCTAGATTTAATATATTTTCCTGTTAGCTTTTCAGAACAGGTGCAACAGTGGCAAAATCTCAGGTACTACAGGCCAACTGCAAGCAACCCATGAGAAAAGAGTTTGTTGAGAGAGCAAGCACATGTGTCACTAATGTTATTCCTCTGTTCTCCCTGCTAACTCTATTATTATAAACCACCAGGGGATAGAAATTGACAAGAATTGAAATGCTCAGCGGGATTCCTTGGCCCATTCAATCCCTTGCTGGCTCAAAACAGAGCTAGCAAGAATTGCTGTGGAGAGTGACTAGCACTCATACATTCACTGTCTTCACACCATGCTGAATTTCTCACTGATGGGCCCGTTAATCTATATATTTGCAATATAGCTCTGGAATGGATGATAGGTTATTCTTTTAACCCTCAGCCCCATGAAATGGTGGAAAAAGGATGGAGAAGTGATGGCCCTTTAAACGTATTTTGAAGTGCCTCAAAAAAAAGAAAAAAATGGCTCTGCTTGGTATCTTTATATGAAACATAAATGAATTGGTAATTTTATTCATACAGTTTGATTTATCAGCAGAACTATTAAGGAAATTTAGACTGAAAAAATACAAAAGTATTGTAATGTGTTAGTATGTTCCTTTTAATACGTCTCAATTTGACCTAAATATAAACAATGGATTTTTTTAAAACTCAAATTCCATAGGGAAAAAAAGAATTTTCTTTCAGTATCTCTTTTATCATCCATTTTTTATTATATAATAATCAAGGAGAATTTTTCAGGAAATTTACTGAGACGTGGGGTTTTACTTAATGTCATTTTAGGTATTATTTTATAATATTTGAAATGTTTATATATTATGTTAACATTGTTCCAGTTTTCCCCCTTGGTGTGTAATCTGTTTATTTGTTGATATCTAATTTGAAAGAAACTGTGCTTTTCAGCTTAGAAAAAACTGAAACAAAATTTTTACAATGTATCTTTCCTAAAATTGCCTTTTTTGAAAGGGACAGTCTGGAAAGAGAGGTGGCTTTTGTGATTAGGGATTTTTAAATAAGCATTGGAAATCTAAGTAAAGTGGCAAATGTGTTATACTTGAGATTTCAAGGTCTTTTTTGTGTGGAGTTCTGAAATAAAAATGTGTCAAATGTATAATTAATCCTTTTTATTAGATGTTTACTAATTTGATCAGTAATTTCAAAAATGCTGTATTTTTTTAAAAGATATTTCAGTAAAAATAATGAGTTCTGTTTATTTCTAGGATGAAATAAATAATGTCTCTTTGGCTTAGAATTAAAATGCTCTCTATAATATATAAGTTATTTTCTCTAAAGGCTCACATGGTTTTCAGGGATATTGGTATTAAATTATGCCACTGAATGTTGAGGGCTCTTCTATATACAAATCTGAAAATTAGATAAGATTAGATATTTTAAATTTTAGAGGGTCAAGATCATTAAATTTTACCTTGTATGTGCTGATAATTTAGTTATTATTATTATGAGTGATATGTTAATATGAATTATTGGAAGTTTATCAAAATCTCATACATTTGAAGTTAAGAATATTTAAACTTGTACTCATCTAAATTCTCCTTAGAAAATAGTTGTGCAAGAACCGATGCCGTTTTTACCCCTTACCCCGGATTTAAAAGTCATGTAAAAGGTAAGCGTCCGCTCCATAATATCTTCATCACCGATAGAAGTTTATTCTAGATTATAAGCAAAATGGATAGAAATCATTTTCCTGTCTAAATTTTATTTTAAAACAAAATGAAAAATCTTGCCTTTCTCTAAAGAATATAAAGTAGTGTTAGGGAGAGAGACTTTCTGATCTTTGAAACGTAAATTTAATAGACTCAAAAGTTTCTTATCTTAGTTTCTAGAGTTGTGAATACATATGGACCACAGACTAGACCTGAAGGAATTCAAGGGTCAGGTCATAAACCCAACAGCATGCTTCGAGATTGTGGTAATCAGGCCGTAGAAGAGAGACTACAGAATATTGAGGCTCACTTGCGATTGCAGACAGGTAAGCAGAGTGCTGGGCAGTTCTCAGTAATGTGCCTTTGCAGGTGGTTCAAGAAATTTCACTTCATTTAGTCACCAAATTTTCACTGAGCACCTGTCACATACAAAACATTGTTTCAGTTTGTACAAAAATGAGTAAAGCTTAACCATGACCGTCTCTAGTTCTTATCACCCACTCTACTAGGCACAAAGTATTTATAAATCTGATCCTAGTCCTCAAGGATCTCTGAGTGAGGATAAGCATATAAATAAATAAATGCCATATGGGCAGTGAACTAACATTTAATGAATAATACTAAGGGCCGGTTACTCTGAAAGTATTACTGCATATGTCAGCTCACTTAATATTTAACAGTACCCTTGTGAGGTGTTGGTGCTGTTATCATTGTCAGATAAAGAAACTGAAGTTCAGAGAGCCCAGGTACCATGTCCACGGTAGTAAGTGACAACTCGAAATCAAGCCTAGATCTTAGCTGGCTGCAAAGCCTGAATCTCCCTCCCCGTCTCATCACCAGCTCCTGTTGATTCTGTCTCCTCAGTATCTCTCAAGTCTACCCCCACGGCTGCTGCTCTAGTTGGAGTCACTGTGTTCTCGGTCTTGGCCTGATGGAAGAAAGATAGTAACTGGGCACTTTACCGCTAGACTTCCTCCTCGGGACACTTCTCTACCTTGTGGAAAAATTCCTTTTCTGAAGCTCAAATCTGATCTTGCTGCTCCCCAGCTAAAAAGTTTTTAATGGTTTTCTGTTCTTATACGCATCCCAAACTTAGTACTTATTCATTCCTTTCACAAATAGGTATTAAGTTCCTACTATAAGCCAGGTACTGTCCTAGGCTCTGAGAATACCTGTGAACAGAAATTCTAGCACATATGTTATATGCTACACTAGAAGAAAAAGGCCACAGATAAAAGCAGCTTGACCAAGAGGAGGGAAAGGAGATTGGAATGGGAGGGGTTTGTAATTTTAAATAGCATGATCTGCATCTGTAGTTCCAGTCACATCTCTGTGCATCCCAACTCCCACTCATTTTGCTGTAGGGCCTTTACCCAGGCTTTTTCTTCTGCCTATGCTTTTCCCTCCTGATCCCAGACTGGTGTGGATTCCCCTTTTACATAGTCTCAGTAGCACCTGGTACTCCCTGCCCTCCTCTGCAGCATGATCACAGTTGTGTTTGTTTAATATTTGTCTCCCCAGCTAGATAGTAAGGTCTATGAGAGCAAACTGTTCTGTTCATTACCTCATCTCGAGTGGAGTGCCTGGCACAAAACAGGTATTCACGTGTTTATTGAAGGAACGATTGCTCATTGCACCTTTTCAGATATGTGCAAAGTACAGTAGGGACACAAAGTTAGTGTTCAGCTCTCTTAGGGGAGGTCAAGGGATGGTATCCTGCTGAAGTGACCTTTGAGCCCTGGAAGGGTTAGTAGGAAGTTTTCAGCAGGCAGGAGCCAAGCATTCCAAAAAAAGGGAACAGCATCTGCAAAAAGCACAGAGGTACAAAATGTGGTTCAGGGAATTTCTGAGTCCAGTCTACCTGGAATATTTGCTAGATAGAGGTAGAAGAAATGAGAATGAGTAAATCTTTGAGGGTAATAAGAGATTAGGATTAAAGATCCCCTTCCCCAGAACTAGATGAATTAAAATACAACTGTATAAAAGGATTACCTGGTTTATTAAGTCTAATAGTATCGAGTAGTTATTTTTGAAAAATATCTGTTGAATGCATGCTTTACACCAAGTGCTGTTTTAGAGGGATACGGAGATGATGTAGTCACAGTCCCGACCTTCTAGGACTCGATCATCTGTTAAGGAGAGAGATTAGTAGTGAAGTGGAATGGAATGGGGCTCTGAAGGAAGGGTATCGTGGGGGCACAGGGTGCCTCCATGTGAAGGGACTAAGGCAGCGCTTCACTGACCCACTGAAGCTTGAACTGGCTCTGAAAAGGTTGCAGAGGTGAGGCAGAGGACAGTCTAGGTAAAGGGAGCGGCAAGAGAAAACAGATGAATCGGGTATTCATTTTACCGTATTTGAGAGCAAGAACAACCAGGATCCTGGGATAAAAAACGTTCTTAAAAGAAAAACAAACATATTTCTAGACTTTTTATATTTAGCAAGTTGATAGGAATTTTTGATAGGAAATTTTGCCCATATTCTTTAGTTGCATAGTGATTGTCTAAGCATGTATTCCTTCTGTCAGTAAATATTAAGTACCTCTGTAGTCTGTGAACTGATGCTTCCTAGATTTGTGCAGGTCACAAGCTCCACAGCCACACCCAATGAAACATGTAAAGTTCTGCCCTATTGGAGTTTACGTTAGAGGGGAGAAATAGGGAATAAATAAACAGAATATACAGAGTGTCGGGTGTTAGTAATAGTTTAGAGAAAAATAAAGAGGAAAGTGAGTGCCCACTAGGGGAAGGTGGTAGCACTGTTATCTTTTAAAGCATGGTCAGAGAAGGCCTTACTGATAAGGTAACTTTTGAGCCAAGCCTGAAATTGGCAAGAGCAAGCTTTGTGAATATGGAGGTAGGTGGAACCCCAAGTGCTAAAGCTCTGAGCTACTTGGCATCGTTGAATAACAGAACAGAGGAATCAAGTAACTGGAATGAGATGAGTGTGGGGAGAATGTTCAAATTGTGCAGGCCTTGTAGACTATTGTAAAGGCTGTGGTTTCTAATCTGAGTGGGATACGAAGGCGTTGGAAGGTTCTGAACAGAGAAGTGACACTATCTGACTTACATTTTAAAAGGCTCCCTGGCTGCTGTGTTGACAGTAGACTCTCGGGGAGCAAGGGAGAAATAAGGAGAACATTTTGGAGGTTGTAATAATCCAGGGAGAGATGATGGTGGCTTGGACCAGAATGGTCACATTGGAGGTGGTGAGAAATGAAAGGATTCGGGGTATAAGCATAACCTTGAAATTTGTGTAACCTTAATTTACCATCGCCCCCCAGAAAGTTTGTTAGTTAGGAATTATGGTAATCCTGGGTGTGGACATGGCACCGCATGGCAAGCCATGCTGTGGTAGGCATCCCACGTATAAAGTAGAGGAAGATGGCACGGATGTTAGCTCAGGGCCAGCCTTCCTCAGCAAAAAGAGGAAAATTGGCAGCAGATGTTAGCTCAGGGCTAATCTTCCTCAAAAAAAAAAAGAATTATGGTACAGTTCTTTAACATTCTTCTAGGTTAAAGGAGAAAATATGGCATGTAGGAGGAAATATAAATTGAAGAAAATTATATGACAGATTGCAACCACTGAGTTGAATTGTCATTTGTCACTATGCATTTTTCCCCTCCCAAGTAACTATCAAAGTCCATCAGAAATACAAATCGTTCTGCCTAGGAACTATACAATATCTTGAAAAATGAATTTAACATAAAACAAGACTTCTAGCAATAGAAGAATTATAAGTGGGGCTTGAGGAGAGGTGTAGTGTAATAATATATCCCGTCGTGAGTAACAGGAAAGTGTGAGCTCAAGACTTCATTCTCTTTTACTCCTGTTCATTTTTTGAGTTTAAATATTTCCATTCCTTTGTGTAAGCGTCTTTGTATGGTATTTTAAGAATAAAAATTGTAAGAAGGAAGAATTCTTCAATAGTGTCTCAGAATGTTTTTTAATCTATTTAGGTGGTCCGGTGCCCAGAGACATTTATCAAAGAATTAAAAAACTTGAGGATAAAATCCTTGAACTGGAAGGCATCTCTCCTGAATATTTTCAGTCCATAGTAAGTATAAGTATCTTTAAAAACTAAATAAATGTTATTTGATTTTGGGATTCTTCTTCATATAACAATTCATTCATTGATCTGCTATATGTGAAACACTGTTTCAATAATTCAGGGGCCAGCCCAGTGGCGCAGCGGTCAAGTTCGCACGTTCCGCTTCTCTGTGGCCCAGGGTTTGCTGGTTCAGATCCCGGGTGTGGACATAACACCACTTGGCACGCCATGCTGTGTTAGGCATCCCACATAGAAAGTAGAGGAAGATGGGCACGGATGTTAGCTCAGGGCCAGGCTTCCTCAGCAAAAAGAGGAGGATTGGCAGCAGTTAGCTCAGGGCTAATCTTCCTCAAAAAAAAAAAAAAGAATAATTCAGAGATGAATGAACATAGTCCTGTGTAAGGGATTACCTAGTTCTTTAGAAACTGTGATTCTGAATATTGTATTATAGACTCATAATTTTTCAAAAAGGGCTACTTTTATTGTACATTACGCAAATTCCCAAACTTAAGCCATTTTCACGGCATAATAAATCAGCCTGGATAGGGGTCAGTCCTGTCACTCTGAACTTGCTATCTTGTAAAACGAAGGCTTCCTCCGGACCCTTGCCCTGTCAGCTGTCCCCTCTGTCTCTCCAGCCCCTCCCTCTCCACAGACGCCTTCCCTCAGCTCGTACAGGCTACCATTTCTCCCCCATCTCAACACACACCTCAATCTGCCACCCTACCGTTTTCTTTACCTTAACCACCAGACTTTGAAAGACTAGTCTATATTGTCTAATTCCTCAACTCTAGCATTTATTTAGTCCTTCATTCATTCTCACCCTTTTCCCAAGGACATTAAGAAACAGTGTTGTGCTGATAAGTGTCTTCTTTGCCACATCAGCATGTTTCAGACAAGCGATCCTGAGCTCAGTGTGTTATTTTCCTTCTGGGGTGATTGTATAACACCTGTCTTTTCTGAGGTTTGGTTTTATTTTTTAAGCAGTGTTATATTAGAAGGAATTAAAATAATGTAAAAGTGAACAGAATTCTTAAATTTACTAAATTTTTCATGAAAATTTTACAAAAGCTCCTATTTCTGAAAATTATGTAAAAGAGCTCACACTAGCATGGATCATTTTAAGTCACTGGTGAAAAATAAGAAGATCAAAGATCAAAATTTTTGAGGAAGAGTGTTAGTGATTTACTTCCCTCAAATGTAAAATGAGGTTTATTAAAGTACTGAGAGCTGAAACAAAGATGAAATGAGGTCATATCAGTCAAGCGGCACACTTGCCCAGCACATGGCGAAACCTCAATAAATGTTAGCGTTTATTTAGTTTCGGAAACCATCTCTGAAGTAGCTGTATAAACGTGGATAAGTCACACAATTCCTCTGGCGTTCAGTTGTCTCATTTTAGAAGATTTGTTGGTTGTACTACATAATTACAAAGGTCTTTCCTCTTTTAGGATTATCTGAATGTGTCCTCCTGGAAAACTTCATAAAGATTTTATGCCTTTTCCTACAACAATCTACCCTAAGTAGTTTCCCATTCAAGCTGCCTTCGTAATCAAGCTGGCCTTAACGTAATCCCTAGGCTGGTTCTTTTTCTAGTCGAATTTCATACCTTGTTAATATAATTCTTGTTAACAATAGAACTGATCTTACAAGAGAGTATTGTACTCTTAGATGCCTCCAGTGACACCTTGCCCCATCATTTATCTCTTTTCTCTGATTTATAAAAGCTTAACATATACCTGTTACTAAATTTGGTTAACAAAAGAACAAGCCCTTGAAATCATAATCTTGTTTTGGGGGACCTATTATATACAGGATAGAATGTTTGGAGTGTTTGGTTAAGGAGGTAGAAGTAGTCCGATTGTGGAGGTAAATTGCTATACTCTGAAGTTTTAAGTATTTAAAGTTTAAATGCTATTGAAAGCATTTGAGCAGGGAAGTGACTTGTGCAAGTGATACTTAGAAGATTTATCTAATGCTGTTCTGGGAGATAAATGAAAAAGGAGAGACTAAGAACAAGAAGACAGTATTATACTAACTGAGATGTGAGGTGAGATCCTGAACTAAGGACGTGAGAGTGAGAACAGAAAAGATGAGTGCAAGAGTCAGTAGGAAAGAAAAGTTGACGAATACTGATAATTGATTGGATATGGAAAAAGAGACATAGAACAAGGGTGAGTCCAGTTTCTGGTTGGAAAAATAATACCATCATTGATAGAAATAAGAAAATCTGGACGGGGAAGTATTTTGAGGGGAAATGTGAATTTGAAGTCATAGCAGCATATGCAGATAGAAATATCAGATAAGCTTTTCAAGATGTAAGACTTACGCTTAAGACGGTTGGGAGAGTCTGTGTAGAGGTGATAGTTAAAACAGAGTGGGTAAGAACGCTGGGACTGTCAGAGGCCTGATGGCTGATGCCTCGTACCTGCCTAACCGCAGGGGCAGGAAGTATTATAAATGTAAACAGAGGATTGGCCTAAATGTATGAGGTTGCCATACCTGTGGTAAAACTAGTGCTTTTAAAAAATATTTCCGAATCTGTTAATATGTATTCGATTAGAAGGATCACTTCTGAATCAGTATTAGAAATGACATATCCAAATTAATAGTGAGCTACAAGGAAGCACAGAACATGAAAAGGCTTAAACATTCAGATTGTCCTCAAGGCCTATGAATATATGTGTCACAGGCCCAAAGAGAAAGAAGATTTCCTAGTCACCCTTCCACAATGGAATGACTGTGCCACCTCTAGGAGCCGCAGTCCTTGCTTGGAATAGAGCCAGCTCAAGATTGTCTTTGCACATAAGAGGAATTGAACACAGACCCTGTTCTCGTGCTGGGAATACACGTGTGGCAATTGCATAATTTTACATACCCTTCAAAAATGCACAGAAAAGACTATATAGATAGCACAGTCTTCTAGCTTCGAAAGTTAGAAAGTAAGGGAAAGTTAAGCCCATTAAATTTCTTAGAATTGAACTTTTGTTAGAAGTTGAACTCTGAAAAGATTTTAATTGAAATGTGTTTAATCCAGATTCACAAATGGATGAATTCTAAACACAGGGAAGCCTCTTACAGTGAGTAGAGAGTGATGATCATGGGTAACATTGAAGCACAGCGTATGAAAAGGGAAACATTAACCAAGAAAAGATATAAATTGTATTCGGTTAATAAAACAAAACTAGATTATGTAAAATTCTTTTCATTTATGAAGCAGACATAAAACTCCAAAAAAAGTTAATGTAGTAAAGCAGGAATCACAACAAAGATTAGTATTTGTTACACCTTCTAATGTAATAGTTCTAAAGATCTTTGCCCTTCACATTCAACATGGAAAGATTTGAATGTGGTAACATTCTAAAACTTTTCAGGGCATCGCTTAACAGACCATTTAAGAGATAGAATCCTTGTGAGTATTTCCAAAGAATTACTTGCTCATTTTAAATTACGGCCCTTAAAAACAGTAAGTATAACATGCTTCACAAGTATATTTCCACAGCACTTGTTCATTTTATAGCACTTATCGCTTATGATTATCTATTTTTCACAGTATATTTTGAACCTCTGAAGGGCAAGAACTGTGTCTTGTTCATCTTTGAACACATAGAATGGAGTTCATTGACTAAACCTGTGAATGAATGGATAGGACCTGGCTGATAGTTAGTTACTGGACTTTTGAAGGTGTGTTAACTTTCTTCCAAAGCACTGACTGGGTGGAATCTTAACTTGAGTCTGTAATGGTAACTCGTGGTTCTAAAGGGTAATATCGGGAGAGGGGAGTGCTGAAGGCCAAGTCAACCTCATATGCACGGGCCAGGGATGTGTGAAACTAGTGGGGGCCCTGAAAGGTGAACAGCTGGATCCAGCTGGAAAATTAAATTGCAAACACCTTCTGGAGGGCCCTGAAGGTCACACTAAGCAGTTTGCAATTCCAGTGTCCATTGGACACCGTTAAGTTTTTGAGGAAGAAAAACTTGTAATTTAGGTTCCTGTCTGGTGGCATTATGAAGTCTAAGTTGGAGAGAAATTGGAGTCAGGCAAGTAGTTCAGGAAATGTATCACTGTTCACACCAGGAAGAAATGAGGTCCGAATCAGGGCCGTGGGACTGGAAGAGAAGAAAGATTTAAGATGCTGCCCCTGTAGAATCCGTGGCCCTTTACTGCTGATGACACATGAGGAAGGGGGTTGTCATGGAAGAGGCCTCCTTACCACTGAGTTTCCTTAGAGCACGGGTCCCCTGGGCGTGTGTGTGTGTGAGATCACCTTTTCACTGGGACACCGACATTATAATGTAGCTATAAATGACCTGCTCAGGTAAAATAACAGGAAAGAAGAGAATTTCGGATGATCTCTGTCCAGCTGTTTATTTGGTGTGCTGTGCTCTCAAGTATTTTCTCTCAGGTACCAAAACTTGTTAAAAAATTTCCACCTTTTACACTGAGATTTTAGACCTACAAAAAGTAAATTTTAGGGCCCAGCCCTGTGGCCAAGTGGGTAAAGTTCTACACGGTCTGCTTTGATGGCCCGGGTTCACAGGTTCGGATCCCAGGTGTGGATCTACTCCACTTACCAGCTATGCTCTGGTGATGTCCCACATACAAAAAACACAAAATAGAGGAGGATTGGCACAGATGTTAGCTCAGGGCTAATCTTCCTCAAGCAAAAAGAAAAGAGTAGCATTGACAGTGGATGTTAGCTCAGGGCAAATCTTCCTTGGCAAAAAAAAAAAAAAGGTAAATTTTAAAACTAGTCCTGGGGCCAGCCCGGTGGCGCAGCAGTTCAGTGCGCACGTTCTGCTTTGGAGGCCCGGGGTTCGCCAGTTCGGATCCGGGGTGCAGACGTGGCACCGCTTGGCAAGCCATGCTGTGGCAGGTGTCCCACATATAATGTAGAGGAAGATGGGCACGGATGTTAGCTCAGGGCCAGTCTTCCTCAGCAAAGAGAGGCAGATTGGTAGCAGATGTTAGCTCAGGGCTAATCTTCCTCAAAAACAATAATAAAGCTAGTCCAGTGTATCCACAACAGATGTGTTTCTAAGTGTTCTACTTGTCAAAGTATTCTGCTCAGACCTAAAATAAACCCCTAGAGGCAACATTTTACTGCTTTTAAGTCATCCGATCACTAATGTCATTCTTTTCTCTTTCTGATACTTCTTTCTTTGGTTTCATGATACAGTAATAATCTGATTGCTCAATATCATGGCAACTATCAATATGTTATAGATTAAACTGTTAGGAAACATGAGCTGTGTCAGAAGCCACTTCTTGGGAAAGGGGGAGATTGAGCAGTGAGCAGATTAAACATTAAGCCCTTCCCTGCCCAGAGGCCTCACACAAACTGTGCAGCTCAGTTTGGCAAAGGAAGGATCATGTTTAAATAAGCACTTTTTCCCCATGTTTAATAATTCCAACACTTAATGATTTCCCACTTATTATAACTGCTGATAAGAGGCATACCTTGATATTCTTTGAAAAGCTTTTGAAACAGAGGAAAATGTGAATAATACCTTCTCTTTGAAATCTCAGTGGTCAGAAATGTTCAGGAGAAAACTTTGCCACCTACACTGACAGTTTCTTTGTCAAATGTACTAATATGCTAATTTGCCATTCAAAAGCTTGTGGTTCTGTGAGAGTAAGAACAAAATCTAGAAAGAATTCATTAGGTCAAAGTTTAAAGGGCTCAGCAGCCTGTTGGTGAGAATGTTGTTAGCTTCAAGTGATAGAAATGTAAACTCAAACTGGCTTAAACAGTATGGAAAGTATAAAACAGGAAGTTCAACAATAATGCAGTCTGCAGGGTTGATTATGGGCTAAGTGATGATTGTCACAGACTTGGGCTCTCTCCCCTCTCAGCTCTGCTTGGTGTTGGCTTTTTCCCCAGGCAGGTGGCAGGATGGCCACAGCACTCTCAGGGGTCGTGTCCAGAGACAGCAGCATCCAGAGGAACTGCCTCCTTTGAGGGCTTTCTCTTAGAAGTGAGGAAGTTTTTTCCAGAGGCTCGCCCCATCATCCCCAGCAGACTTCCCCTTACTCATTGGCCAGAATTGGGCCCATGGCCATTCCAGTGACTGGCGAGACCAGTGGGGTGGGGTCAGTATTCCCCTGAGTACCCTAGAGGAGCGGTGGATAGCTGCTCACACAGACAACGAGTGTCCGTTACAGTCAGTCAGTGGGGGTGAGGGGTTGTGTATGTTTTCACCCTCAGCCTGGTATTCTAAGTTCTGTTTTCCTCTGTCTGTTGCTGCTTCACTTGTTCAGTATCCTGGGATAGAAAGGTTGTAAAAAGGACGCGAAATAGAAAATCCCCAGAGCACCTCTTTCCACAATCACTCAGCCTCTTTAGAAGCTGAGAGTTAGTGGGCCAGTGTGTATAGCCAGGGGCGAGCATGTTGCCGCAATGTCACTGCTGTGTACTTTTAATATCACCCGTGGAGGGTAACGTCCAAAGCACGGGCAGGCAGAGGAGTTGCAGAGCGTGCTTGGTGAGTTTGTGGCTTCTGTTTCTGCCGGGGTCTCCACAGTTTAGTCAGTTTTCTAGAAAGGAAAATAGTTATTTAGATTTTCTAAGCATTTGATTACTTACTAGTTTTTTTCTTTTAATCTAGAATTTTTCTGGAAAAAGAAGAAAAGTTCAACCACCTCAAGTAAGTTATTGCATTTTCATTTTGGCTTCTGAAATAGTTTAGTTTTTCACGTTTCTTATTAATAAAAGTTTCTGCTATGTTTGCTTTTAGGTCATACCCTGGATTTAGGACTGAAAAAAAGCGCAGCGTAAATTAATATACTTGAATTAAACAAATAGTTTTATTTCAAGGGCATGGAATAACTCACATGGGCCAAATAAATATAAAAGTCTTTATCCAGCTGTTAACTGTAGAAGAATGTATCATTACAAAATGCTAAAAAATAATAAATGCTCGAGGAATTCAAATCTTCCCTCTTCCCCCTTTGCAGACACCACTAACTAGCAGCATCTAAATCAAAAAAGGGTGTTTGGCAGAGGCTGACTTCAGCCCACCCCTGTCCACAGTACTACTGTGTTAATTATTGAATGTTAATTAGTAAGGTTTTGCCAGCCTTTAATGGTGGTAATGTAAATTTAAAGTTGGGGAAAGCTTTAAAAAAATTGTGTTTAGGGGCTGGCCCTGTGGCCGAGTGGTTAAGTTTGCACGTTCAGCTGCAGGTGGCCCAGTGTTTCGTTGGTTGGAATCCTGGGCGCGGACATGGCACTGCTCATCAAGCCACGCTGAGGCAGCGTCCCACATGCCACAACTAGAAGGACCCACAATGAAGAATATACAACTGTGTACCGGGGGGCTTTGGGGAGAAAAAGGAAAAAATAAAATCTTTAAAAAAAAAAATTGTGTTTATATTTTAAGGGTAGCATATTACTTATTTTTTTATTGTAAAATTTTAAGTAAATTTTTGAGAGTGTCCATTTTTTCCAGGAGAGGTAGTTGATTGCAGTTGATCCATCCAGAAAGAATTTCCAGGTATTTTAAGCAGTTAAGCTAATCCTAAAGTTTAATTTTTTTGCTATTGATTATGAGGATAGTCAGCTGAAAAAAAAAGTTACAGTCCATTCAAAGTATGTAAGGTCCAGGAGAGCTCAGTCATTAAGAAAGAGAAAGAAAATAAGAAATATTTAAGCCTTGTTATTTTATGCCTTTAAATTTATGATATAGTCAACATATGTAGTTCCATTTAAAAATTATTCTCGTGAGGAAAAAGAGATATTTACCGCGCTTTTGGATATTTAAAATTTTTGTAGTTCATTTAGCACTTTATCTGCATTAAGAAACTTCGGAGTCTTATTCAGCAATTTGTGTTCCTATTGTTTACAGCAGAACTACTCACTGGCTGAGCTCGATGAGAAAATCAGTGCCCTCAAGCAAGCCCTGCTCCGAAAATCAAGAGAAGCCGAACCCACCGTGGCTCACCACCTCCCGTGAAAACGCCTCGCGTCCTTGCCGGTCACCTTGTTACACACGTGCGTGTAACTTACCCTGCAGTTAACTAAACGGACACGTGTCTATCTATGTAGACTTCCCTCTGAAGTCAGGGCGTATTTTCATGTGAGTGCAGCTTGCAGCAAATACTCTTCAAATATTCCAATGAATTTTGAAATAGTTAATGCATTGAAAATAGCATTGTCGAAATTATTCCCTTCTGTTTTAAAGGAGGTATTTTAGAAATTGAAAAACTTAATTTGAAAGTACATCTTTTTATGTGTGTGTGTGTGTACCACAGAAAGGAAGATTTATTTTGAATAGTGATATTTTAAAGGACTTTATATTTGTAACATTGATGTTAACTAGTTTAGATTAGTACTTTGTACATAATAGGCATTCAACAGAAATGTATTGACTGAAACGAATTTTAAATGAATGCATACACTTTTTTTTTTCAAATGTCAGTTTTCGTGTAAATAAATAGTAGATCCCACCTGTATCCCCTTATTGGCTGTGTGACCTTGAGCATGTTGCTTACCCTCTCTTTTGGCCTTAATTTCCTTACCTGTAAAATAGGAATGATGATAGTAGAACCTATAATGTTCCTGAAGAATAGGTGAGATCACTCATGGACAGCTTTGCAAACTGGCCCCAAGGGAAGTGCTCAGTAAATGTTAGCTGTTGCTGTATAAAACCAAATCTGTCTTTGGAAAGAAGTGAAGATGTGGCAAACAAATTACAGTTCCTCTCCCTCGAGGGCCTTTCCCATGCCCCAGTTATGTTAGGCAGTACATAGATTCCACAGTTGCAAATTAAACATTTAAAAGAGGCAGCTACAGTCAAGGAGCAAGTGTTTAGGTGATTGTTTTGTTTGTTGCAAGAACCAGAAATCTACCTAAAATAGCTTGTAAAATGGGAGTAAAAAGGAATCAGAAGTCTGGAGTTTAATTGCAGGAACTAGAGCTGGATGTTGTGGAATCTGGAAAGTCACGAGCAGTAAATCTGTCTCTCCGTGTCTCTAGCTGCCTCTGGCTCTGTTTCTGTCTAGCTGTGTCTCTGTCCCGTGCCATCCTTGTTTTCTGCTTTCCTTTCCTTCTCTTTCTCTTTCCCTTTGTTTCCCTCCTCCTCATTCTGTTTCTGTTACAAATCCTCTATGCATCTGCTTTATTCTCCTCTGTGAACTGGTTTCTCTGAAGGCCTTTTCATTTCTGCTTCCCCACACGGTGACATGTTAGCCCTGTCTCCATAGCCTTGGCTTGTTCATGCCTCTGAGCTGCTATGGTACAAACTCGGAACCCAACTCTGTGGAGCCTCACAACTCCATTGACCGCTGTTTACCTGTGTCTGTATCCCTTAGTGCAAGTCTTCAGAGACTGAATCTCAGTGTGATCAGAGATTTCAGTCAGTTGTGGCCAGGAAGATGGAGCAGCACCTCTTCACAGGAGTATGCAGTGTACACACAACCATTTGTGCAAGCCTTGAAAATGGGGTCACTTGGTCAAAAACGAGGGCTTGGGAATCATTCCTAAGAAGTGGGTGTGGACTACGTCGATTCCACTAACATCTTCCCACTAGATTTCTTCTCTGTAGGGCAAACTCGTCCTTCAAGATAGTCTTGCCCAGTGTGATCCAGTATTATAAGTACAACTACAAGTGCCTGCTCCTCAGTCTCTGTCTGGTCCTTGTACACACCATCCTGCTGGAATGACCTCCTCTGGGTTTATTGGCACATTTTACTACCATCACACCAGCAATTGGATAGGAAAAACATCAGTAAAAATGATCAATTAGAAAAAGAGTTTGACTTAGAGGTGGGGAAGAAACCTAGAAAACAGGATCATATACTGGTCATTAGTCTGCCCCTAAATAAATGCCAAGAGTCTGTTTCTTGACTCCTTTGGCAGTAGAGTAAGTTCCTTAGTCACGTCTGACAGTCCTAGAATCTGGCCATTAGAAGGATTTCCTTTTCCATTGTTCTTGAGGCCTGCTCTTCTGAAGGACTTCGGAGTCCTCTCCGCAATTAGGAAATACTGTCTGGTGCCAGCAGCCCTTTCTACTTTAGTCAGAGTCTCCAGACGGGGCCAGCACTCAGCGCCATGTTGGTATGCGTTGGTATAGGTACTTGTTCAAGACAGTGTCTTCTGGTGAGAACTACCCCAGGATTTTAGTGGGCTCTCAGCCGTTGTCTTCTTGAGTGCATTACTGACTAAAAGGTGATGCCAGGAATTTCTATAGGGTAAGCTTGCTCCCTTAATCACCAGGCTAGCTAAAAACCATTCCTTCAGGAACTTCGTTGTTCGGCTGTTCTTAGACCCATTGTTCATATGGCCCTGTCCTCAAGAGAGTAAAAGAGGAAAAGCGACTGGAAGGAGGTTTGCCAGACAGGAAGCTCTCTTCCCTAGTCTGCCCTAAAAATCTCTCCTCTTCACGGGTTACATTCCATCCAGGGAAGTGTTTTACTGGGGTTGGGAGTTTGGGGGGGTGGGGTGACAGGCATCAGATGTTTATCCCGTGGAAAACGGCTGGGCTTCCCAAACTGTTCTAGCCACTGCTAGATAGCCTCCTTTCAATTACTAGGCTCCTGAGCCCGGAGCTTTTCCAAATTCCTGAATAATATCTGGATCTGATCTTCAACAATCTCAGCAGGTAAGATTTCCCTATAGGAAACATAGGTTTGCAATTTCCTGCTTTTCCCTGCTTTTAGCCAGACAACCTGGTATAGAAAACTCCCTTTGCCACTGAATTTTAATTATGTCCACAGGTAATTAACATATTCCTACATTTCAACATTTGACAACTTTTAAGTCTGAAGCTTAGGCAATTGTTTAATTCGCTATTTTGCCATCTCTTTCCTGCATATTGGCCAGCCCTGGTGGTCTAGTGGTTAAGAGTCAGCGTTCTCACTGCCACGACCCAGGTTCATTCCCCATCAGGGAACCTCACCACCAATCAGTTATCATACTGTGGCAGCTGTGTGTTGCTGTGATGCTGAAAGCCATGCCATCAGAATTTCAAATACCAGCAGGCTCACTGATGGTGGACAGGCTTCAGTGGAGCTTCCAGACTAAGACAAGAGTAGGAAGAATGACCTGGCCACCACCTTCTGAAAAAGTTGGCCACAAAAACCTGTGAATAGCAGTGGAGCATTGTCTGATACAGCACCGAAAGGTGAGAAGATGGCGCTAAAAGACTGAGCAGGGTTCAGCTGTACTGTCCACAGGCTCGCTAGGAATTGGAACCAACCAGACTGCACTAACAGCAAAAAGCTCCATACTACCAGTTTTCCATTGAGGGGGACTGGAATTGGCCACACCCCAAGATATGTCTCTTTGGCATGAGGATTATTTTGGGCTGGTTACTTTTAAAAACTGCAGATAGGAAAGAAACTCTGAAAAGTAGAATTTACTTACCTTTGTGAAGAGAGATTTACATTTGTAAAGGAAATGTCCATCTGTAAAGGTGTCTCCCTCTCTGTACCAGGAAGAAGGGGGGATGACCTTATCTCTAGAAAGTCTCGTCAATGTGGAAGGCAAGGACTCAAGTCTGCATAATAACCTGACTCTTGTTTACTGTACTTGTGTGGTCATCTCCTGTAACTGACTCCCCCACTCCCAACATCCTCCTTTGTCTTTAGCTAAAGATGATATTTAAGGTGGTGGCTTCAGCCATTTTGGTGAGTTGCTCAGTTTGCCTGAGCCTCTCCCATGTATACATGTTATAAAGCTTTGTTTAATTTTCTCCTGTTATTCTGTCTCATATGAATTTAATTCATTTTCAGGCCAGAAGGACCCAGAGTGGGTAAAGGAAACGTCTTCCTCCCCTACACCTTGGAGTAGGGAATTTTGTCACACCTAGCTCTGACCTAGCTCTTTGGCTCCAGTGGCTCATGTTTTGTTCCCTATGATTCAAAATCTGGAAAAAGAGGAATTCATATTCATAACTTGGGTCAACTGTCCACCTCCAGACCAATTATCTGTGGCTTGAGTATTAGGATCTCCAACACACTCACCCAGCCCCTTGAGGAACGAGGGCCACTTCCAACAAAGAAAACATGAGCTGGGAACAGTGCCCCTGAGATCTAAACCAAGGAACAGCCACTATTTATAAAATTTTTAGTTTTCTAAGAAGTAATTTTTTTCCATGACTTTAAAAACATTGTAATCCTTTAACCCTAGAGATATCATCCAGGTCCATCCACTGGACAAAATTTGAGTTTGGGTTTCTTTTTTTGAGCAATGTTAACTATTTATAAGGATTGATATTTCATGGCTTTTAGTCTTTCTTCATGTTCTCCAAGGGATAAAGAGAAAATTTATTTTTTAAAAAATAGAATAAAACACTATAAGTGTCAATTCCCATACAGGTCCATTGGACCCTTTTATAACTCTAAGATGCATTGCAGGATCTCAGTGATTTAATTTTCCAACATCTTTGGAAATATTTTGCATTTCATCATCCCAGGAATTATTTAATTATTACTAACCAATTATTCCCAACTATGCTTAAAAAGACTAAAATAATAAGGAAATGGATTAATGATACAATCACCTAGAAGAATGTAATAGTAAGATAAATGATCCTGTTATGTCATCTTTCACTTTTCATGTAGCATTGCCCAAGGTATTGCATCATCTTGCAAGAAGGTATAAAAGTCTGTTTAGAGTCTTTTTCTTTAGGCTTTCAATGAATACAGTTGCGAGTTTAGAATTTTTCATTTTGACCATAATGACAAGTAGAAGAAAATTAACAGAAAAATATTCACAATTACTAAAGGAATCAGAAGGTGAATACAAAGAAACAGAGGGCAGAACTCTAGATCCTAATGATGTTGATGAAATTGATCATGTAAGCGAAATCTCAGACCATGAGTCTTCAGGTAAGTATTCTAAATGAGTTTTCTTAAATTCAAGAATGGATGAGTGAACCATACATTTCTCAGGACAACAAGGAAATAAGGTATTCTCATCTACTTATTCAACAGGAACGGCTTCATCATGCAATATTTTACAGCAAGAACCTTGGCTGTGTCCTTTTGCTAAGTGGATGGTATGGTAGTGTTCTTTCACCTTTTATCATGTTTCTCCACCAAACTTTACTTGATATGGTTCCTAAGTTGAAAAATGCTAAAGACAGCTACATATACAAAAGTGATTGAAAGGAAATAAATGATGTAGAAATGAACATATCATTGGGCTGGTCATTCTAATTAGTGCTTATAAATCTAAAAAGTAAAATGTTTTCCAGTAACCACCATCCTTTTTCAACAAAATCATCTCATCAAAGTTTTTTGAAGTATTGCATTTTGGCGATGCACATGTAAAAAGAACCAGAAGTCATGATAAGCTAGAGCCTAATAAAAATGTGTTTGAAATCTGAAGTCACTGTTGACAAGATGGATATGTTCCAGGTTCATACATTCAGGTGATGAGCAGTTAGTTGCATTCAACTGACATTGCCCATCTCAAGTATATACACCCTTAAAGACAAAAAGATATGAAATAAGAATT